TTTTCTGTTTCACTCCCTTTTTGTTTCTTACCCATTCTCTCTTTCTCTCCTTTTTCCTCCTTAGCCACTCATTCTCTAGCCCCCTTTCTCTGTCTTTTCACTCTTTTTCTCTTTCCTATTTCTCTGTCTCTCCGCCTCGCTCATTCGCTTTCCCCCTCCCCTCCTGCAGGTCTCACCTCTGCCCAGTATGGACTGTAACTGCGTGTCGGATCTACTGCTCACCTCCCCGATACCGGCCCTCTGGGCTCCAGGTAAGGACCCTCCTTCCCCTCCCCACCTCCTCCTCCGCCCCTCGCCAGAGCAGGCAGCTGACAGGGACCGGGCCCATCCCGCACCCCCAAACGGCCCCAGGCTCCAAAGAGTGGGGCACTGGACCCAGGGAAGGGGAGACTGGGGGTCCCTCAGCCCCGGGGGCCCAATGCGGGGGGGTCCTCCCCCCAGCTCCCGGAGAGCTTTAAACTCTTCATTTCATCCCTTCAGATGTTCAGCACATAGGGAAAAAATCTCCCACCCCAGCCCAGCCGCCGGGCCCGTTGGGTTGCGGGGTGGCACCGTGTGCAGAGAGCCGCATCTGAAAATCTGACTTAGCACTTGGCTGTTGGAGTTTGTGATTCTGTCTGTCCTTCCCCAGACCCCCCCTTTACCCCTCCATCCCTCCCCAGAACCCCCCTTACCCTTGCATCCCTCCCTTCCCAGACCCCTCTTTACCCCTCCATTCATCCCCAGACCCCCCTTTATCCATCCCTCCCTCTCCAGACCCCCCCTTTACCCATCCCTCCCTTCCCAGACCCCCCCTTTACCCTTCCATCCCTCCCTCCCCAGACCCCTCTTTACCCCTCCATCCATCCCCAGACCCCCCTTTATCCATCCCTCCCTCCCCAGACCCCCCCTTTACCCCTCCATCCCTCCCTCCCCAGACCCCCCTTTACCCCTCCATCCACCCCAGACCCCCCTTTACCCACCCCTCCCTTCCCAGACCCCCCCTTTATCCATCCCTCCTGCTCTGTGTGTGCGTATTGTAGCGTGTGAATTGACATGGACACATAGCTGTCATGCCGGTGTGTTTGTATGTTTACACACACACTCACACACTCACAAACAGCGTGTGTGTTGATAGCTCTGTTATAGATGGTCTCTCGGGAGACCCCTCGCGCTACAGACATTTACACACAGACCGAGAAATACACAGCGAGCTAGAGCCAGCTCTCTGCACACACGCACTCACGCACACACCCCCACACACGCACTCACACACACACACCCCTGCCCACACACGCACACCTGAGACCACCCACCGGCGCGGCCCCGTCCGGCTGCGGGCTCTGACTCCCCGGGAGACCTAAGCGGGTTTTTGGGAAGACGAATCAGTTTCCAGTTGTTGGTTAAATACCAAAGCGGGCTGGGCCGGCCGGGCCGTGGAGGGGCTGAACCCTGGGGCCCTGGCCGCGACTCATCAGGGCCCCGTCCCGTGACGACCTCTCCCGGGACAGTAACACGCCCAGGCAGCCTCGCCCCAGGCCTGTGGCCATGACGGCTGGGCTGGCTCGTCCCCGCCGCGACACCCACTCACGCCTGGTCCTTACGCAGCGCATCTGCAGCGAGCAGAAGAGGGCCCCCGCCGGGGCGGGGCGGGCCGGGCCGGGCCCCGGGGCGGGGGTCCCGTGGCTGGAGGTTCCAGAGCAGGTTGGACAAAGCTGCCCGGGAGGGTCTGGCCAGTGGCTGGCGCCTCGCCGGACACCTGTCCCCCTTTCGGGAGGCTGAGGTGTCCCGTGCGCCCCCAGGTTTCACCTCACTTCGGAAGGACTCGCTGACAAAGCCAGACCCAAACCGCCAGGGTCAATGCCCGGTTACTGACCCGTGGGAACCTGCCCACTGCGCCCATCGCATTATCCAGTCAATCACCTGGAACGTCCCCCGTGTCCACACGGGTCAGCTGCCCCGCAGGGGGCGGGGGGAGCACGTCGCTGGCTGTAGGACAGGGCAGCTTGCGCTGACTCCGCTTGTCATGGTGTAAACCGGGGCAAGTCCCCAGAGGAGATGAGGTCCCTCGGGAGACCCCTGCGCCCCGCGGGGTGTGTCCCCCCGGCTGATTACCCCAGAGCGGCTGGCCCGTCCAGCCTGCCATTGGCGTGTGTGGATAGACACACCGCGCGCACACCTCGATGTGTGCGGTATAGGCATGTGTATCTGGGAAGGGGGATTCGTGGGGGGGTGATTTACACACTCGCTGTACACCTGTCTCCATGTTACACACAGACACAAACACGCGCAGGGCCTCTCTCACGCACACCCGGGCTGCAGGCGCCGCAGCGCTGAGCCGCCCCGGGGGCGGAGCGGGTCTCTGGGGCAGGGGGCTGCGGGGCAGCCCGGCCCATGGAAGCCGCTGCCTTTCCCCGCGGGGCGCCGCTTCGGAGGCGCGGCCTTTGGGCCCCCAGCCTGGCTCATTAGCGACCAGATTCAGCTTTTCTCTGCAGCCCCGCGGACACCTCGCGCCAGGCCCAGAGCCGGGCCGAGAGAACCCGACCTAGGAGCTCGCAGCTCGCCCGAGCTCGGACACTCAGGGCCGGGAGAGATTCACCCCCTGAACCCAGCTGTGGACACTGCCGGGGCTCCGAAAGAATCCGGCTGTCAGCCCAGCCGGCGTCGCTGGAGGGGCAGCCTATGGCCGGGCAGGGCCGGCCCCGGCCGCGTCCACACACCGCTCCGCACAGCTGGGTTGGTGGGGGCAGGGCCCGGAAACGCAGCGTGAGTGTAAATTTACAAATGGGGCATGAACGTGACCCCCAGCCACGTGACCGGCCTTCTCTTGGGGCTAAATGTCCCAGGCCACAGCGGAGCCTTGGTGGCCCCGTGAGCCAGCCCCAGAGCCCAGTTAACACGTCCCGGTAATTCCAGAGACCTGGCTAGAGAGGCGAGACTCGTCCTGGCCGGAGAGAGATGCCCCGGCTTGCTCCCCTCCCCCACCTGCTCTCGGACCGACCTGGCCACAGCCGCCCTGCCGGAGCTGGAAATCAAGCCCAGGGCTCTGCCAGCGGGATCGACGGGGCTGGAGGCTGCGGGGAGCGGCGGGTTTCTAAGCCAGGCTAGTTCCGGAAGCAGCGCATCAGTGTAATGATCCTGCTACGTTATCCCCGTATAGCCCAGTGTAACGCCCGGTGTGGATACTGAGAGGGGCTTCTCCAGCTCGGCGGCGGGGGCTTTCGGACCGGCCACGCACGGGCTCTGCTCCGGTGTGAGGGGCCGTGACAGGTGCGAGCCGGCCAGAGACTGGCTGGGGAGGGCGCGCTGCGGAAAGGGGCCGGGGCCGGGGCCGGGGCCGGGGCGGGTCACACCCTGACTATGAGGCCGTTGAGACAAAAGCCAGGAACATTGTGGGGAAAGTGTCAGACCCCGGACGTCGTGTCCTGTACGGCGCGGCCCCGGGGAGCCTGAGCCGGGTGCTGCGTCCCGTCTGGGCAGCGCTTTAGGGAAGAGCTGGGCAGAGGAGAGCGACAAACTCGGGGGGCGGTTCAGAGCCCCTGAGCCAGGCGGCAGGTTACCCCGCTGGCCTGACTCGTCCTGCGCGGGGAGAGTGAAGGGAGCTGGGTGCGAAGGGCCGGTTACACCCAGGACGGGGCTCGGGTCTGCTCCGCGCTGGGCGCAATCCGCAGCTGGGGCCGTTCCATTGGACAGTAGGAAAAACCAGCTCCTGAAGGGAGTCACTGGGGGGGCTGGAGAGCAGGGGGCCAAACCCCGGCTGGGCTGGGCTGGGGTTACTTGGCCTGGCCTCACCGCAGGGGCCGGGTGCTGATGGCTTCTCAAGGCAACTTCCAGCTCCATAGCTCTGAGTCTGTGACTCCGGCCGAGCTGAAAGCTGCCCCCCGGGAAGGGCCCCCAGCCCCTTTGTCACAGAGCCTCCCAGCACCAGCGCTCAGCCGTGGTCACTCTCGCCCTATTTTACAGCTGGGGAAACCGAGGCACGAGGCCACGACCTGGTTTGCCTGAGTTCACGGAGCAACCGAGCTGAGAATAGAACCCAGGAGTCCGGGCTTCCAGCCCCGCGCTCTGGGCACTTTATCAGGCATCCGGGCCAGGGGCCTGCGGGACGGCCTCCTTACAGCCCCGCAACTCGAGTGCCGAGCGATGAGCCCCACGAGTGACTGACCCACCCGGCCCCTCTGGAGTCACTCAGAGCCCTGGGGGAGGGGCGCACTGAGAGGGGCGAGAGGGAGCCAGGAGCCGGGTGTAATGTACCCGCGGGGCCCAGCCAGGGGTCCAGGTACCCCGGGGGTACGCAGGGCTCTTCCCGGGGTACCTCAGCTCAGCACGAGGGTTGCCGCTTTTTACAACAGGCTACAAGACAAGCCCTAACCAAGTCCGCACAAAGTACAACGTCCCTTTCCACGGCTCTTTTCGCCCTGCCCGGCCGGAGTCTGCCAAGCGCGTTACTTTGTCATTCCAGGGCCGGGGAGCAAGGGGCGGCCGGCCAGCACCGCGTGTGGTGACACCTCTGGGCTTTTATGGCTGCGTCTGTAAGCGAGCAAAGTGTTTCAGGGAGGCGAAACCTGGGGGCGCGCAAGGCAGATCTGCCTCCCGCCAGGGGGGACGGGGGTCTGGAGAGTCTGAGAGCCCCTGGCTGCTAGAGACAATTATCTCGTGTGGGCAACAGACAACGCGGGGGCGGGGGGGGGGGTAGAAGCTCGTGTGATTAAATCCTTTCTGTCACACACACACAAATTGTACTCACAATTTTCACAGAGAGTTTGGCAAATTGGAGCTTGATAGTGACACACACTCTGCGTGTTCTTCCTACGGGCCAACACAACTCATCAAACCAACCGGGGACCCGCTGGGCAACAGCGCACGGGCTCCGTCCGGAGCTCCATGGCTCCATGCAAGGGTGTATCTCTAGCTGAATATCCGAGTAACGGGGGGGTCCCTAAGGACTCTCTCCCCCTCTCTCACACACACAGACACACACAAGCAGGTCAGGAAGGTTTCAGAGCTGTCTGGTGAATTATGATGATTTTGTGTATTTATTTCTGTGGCCAGACCAGGAAGTTTCGGGGCCACACATCTCCCCACTGGCAACACCTGGGGGCTAGAAGGTGTGAAAGGGTCAGACTGTCCCACGCTGAGTGGAACCGACCCGCCGCCTCGCCCTGTGGGCCCCGGTACCTGGGGCAGGGGAGCAGAGACCGGAAGCTTCGGGTCCCGGCAGCGCGCTGGGCGCTGAGCCCCGGGAGGTTCCGTGGACCCAGCCGGGCTTTGGTTCCGTTCGTTGGGTCATGAAAATATTGGTGATTTTGTCTCAGTTTGGAACAGGAACATTTTTCAAACCATCTGCAAAATTCCCATGGGACAGGAACCCCCCCAGTCAGACACGCACGGACACACACAGGCAGGGACACACTACCCCCCCCCCCCCACATCTCTACATTATTACACACACAGGCACGCGTGTACTATCTCTCCAGTCACACGCCTGGGGCGGCCAGGCGCTGGGAATGGGCGCAGGGGGCGGGCCACTGGATGGTTCCCTATTCGGTTCATTCCCTCTGGGGCACCCGGCGCTGGCCGCACACAGGACCCTGGGCTGGACGGACCCTGGCCCTGCCCCAGGCCTGGATCCCTCCTCAGACATTAATCCCCGCGGCCAGCACAGAGCCCTGTGTGCACCTGTCCGCCTTTCACACCCACGGCTCAGCCCCTCCAGCGGGGGCAGCAGGGACCCCCACCCCGAACTCTGCTAAGGGGCTGGAAGCCACTCGCTTCCCCGCCCTGCCCGGGCCGGAGTCCGGAGCCCGCGGGCGCTTCACGCCGCGGTGTCTCTGGCCAGCCCGGGGGCCCAGGAGTCCGTGGGGGTGGGGCTCGCCGCGACGTCAGCCCTTCTCGGCTTTTTTTGCTTTAACCCTGGGACCTCGGACCCCCCCCCACAGCCCAGGACCCCCCCCATCGGGAAACTTCCCCCGCCATCCCCGGGGCCTGGAGCCAAGCGGGTTCCGAACATCGCGGAGGGAGCGCGCAGGGGGGGCGCGGGTCTGCGCGGAACAGGCTTGTACTGGGGTGGGGGTGGGGCGGCTCTGGCTGGAATCAGCAGCTGGGCCGCCTCGGCCCCTCCCCCCTCCAAATCTGGTCCCGAGGAGCTGGGCTCGGGGAGCTGTGGGCTGGGGACCTCCGGCGCTCGTGCGCCAGGCTGGCGGGGGAAAGCCGGCCCCCCTCCTGCGCGCAGGGGTGGGAAGCGGGGACCCGGCTGGTCTCCATGGCCCCAGGACCGGGCGAACCCTCTGCTGCCCCGAGCGCCCGGGTGGGGCTGCCCCTCCCGGCGCCCAGCTGGTGGGGACCCGTCTCTGCGCCGGGCGCCCTGTGCCACGTCTCCAAACCAAGGCTATCCAAGGGCGCGTTCCGGGCGCTGACGGGTCCGCTTGCCCCGCAGGGTTCGCCTTCCCCGACTGGGCCTACAAGCCCGAGTCCAGCCCCGGCTCGCGGCAGATCCAGCTGTGGCATTTCATCCTGGAGCTGCTGCAGAAGGAGGAGTACCAGAACGTGATCGCCTGGCAGGGCGACTACGGCGAGTTCGTGATCAAGGACCCCGACGAGGTGGCGCGGCTGTGGGGCATCCGCAAGTGCAAGCCCCACATGAACTACGACAAGCTGAGCCGGGCGCTGAGGTGAGGAGCTGGGGGGGATCCCCGGGGGAGCCCCCCAAAGCACAGAGCCAGACGCACAAGAGACGGTGCAGGCTCAGCTCAGCACCCCCACTCCTGGGGCACTGGGCCAGCCCTGCCTGCAGAGCGCGCCCCCTCCTGAGCCTCCCCAGCCCCCCGAGCCACAGTTCCCAGCTAGCGAAGGGGGGCTTGGCGGGACTCCTGGGTTCTTTTCTCAGCCACGGGAGACTAGGCTGAGGCATTTGTCTGGGCCGTGCCTCAGTTTCCCCACACGAAAAATGGGCGCGGGAGGGGAGGGGTTATTTGAAGATGTGCGGATGTGATGCAGCAGGGAGGGGGGAGTGTTGACCTGGGAATGTGCCCTGGGGATGGGAGACCTGAGAGCCTGTCACCTGAGCCGGGAGGGGGAGGGGGAGGTGACACCTCTGCCAGGAATGTGGACAGAGGCTGCAGGAGGGGGCCTGCTGGGGGGGTTTAATTTCAGTTTGGGGCTGGCTGGGGAAATGCAGGGAACCCCAAGGCTGGGGTCTAAGCTCCCTGCTCCCCCAGACTGAGGGGTCCTGGGGGTACGCACAAGCTCTGTTGTGGACTGTGTTCCTGGGGTCCAATAAACCTTCCGTTTTACTGGCTGGCTGAGAGTCTGGGTGAATCCCGGGAAGAGGGGTGCAGGGCCTGGACTCCCCCACTCTCCGTGACAGAAGCCCCCCATGATTTGGGGCCTGGAGTCAGCAGGACGGTGGGCGGGGCGGGGGGAGCGATGAGTCCAGCCCTGCCCCCTCCCTCCCACACCGGAGACCCGGTGGCGCATTGAGTCACTTCCGCAGCCGGCCTCCCTGAGACTCCGCCTCCCTTATAAATATTCATGAGCAGCTAAATGCTCCTGGGGGCCTCGGACCCCCCCCAGGCTCCGCTAGGCAGGCTCAGCAGGGGAGGGGTCAGCGGGGGGCGGCCCCGGGCGCTGGCCCAGGGCCCCTGGGAACCGGGAGCTGCCCCCGTCCAGCGTCAGTGGCTCCTGGGGGGACGCGCGGCCCTGACCCCCCCGCCCTGACCCCCAGGTACTATTACAACAAGCGGATCCTGCACAAGACCAAGGGGAAGCGCTTCACCTACAAGTTCAACTTCAGCAAGGTCCTGCTGGTGAACTACCCGCTGCTGGAGCTGGGCGGCGCGCCCCTGCTGCTGGCCCCCTGCCCCGGGGGGGCGCACGGCCCCGACTGCCCGCCCCTCACCCCCGAGGTAGGAGCGGGGGCTGCTCGGGGCAGTGGGAGGGGACGTCGGTGGGGCGGGCAGGGAGGTGGCCAGGCCTCACGTCCTCTTTCTGCCCCCGCCCCAGACCCTTCAGTCCCTCTTCTCCAGCCCCCGCCTGGGGGGGCCCCCCCGGACGCGGCCCCCTCTTCGAGCGCCAGGCCGAGAGCGAGAAGCTGCGACTGGACTCGGCCCTCCCCTTCCTGGGCTCAGGTGAGAGCTGGGGCCGCGGGGCGGGGAGGGGCCCTCAGCTGGGGGACAGAGGAAATGGGGGGCATAGAGCCCCCATCTCCCCCGGCTGCTGCTGCTCAGACGCAGGGGTATGAGTTTGTCAAGACTCAGCTCAAGTGCCCCAATTGCCCCCAGCCGTTACCCCCCTCACAGCTGCTCCCGCAGGCAGGCCCCAGGCTGGGCAGGTCACGAACGGCTGAGCCCCCCCTTCCTCCCCATGGGGTTCATGGGAGGGCTGGCTGCTAGCCCTGCACGTGGAGGTGGGGGATGTCACACAGTGAAGAGCCTGAGTCAGCCATAGGTGAGGACAGAACCCAGGAGTCCTGGCTCCCGTTGGTGCAGAGGGGGGAGGGGAAGCTGGGGTGGCGGGTTTGGATACTGGAGGCGGGGGGGGGGCTGATTTTCCCTCCTCCCGTCTGAGGTGGGGGCTGGTCACTCATGTCTCCCCTTCTCTCCCCCCAGGCGTCTCCGGCTATTCGAAGCCCCCCTTGCTGGCCCCCTATGGCAGGACGCCCCCCTTCCCCGAGTACCCCTGGAATTTTAACCCCTACCTCTCCGGCGCCTTCCCCCTCAGCAGCTCCAAGCTCCCCGCCTCCCTCTACTCCCCCCATTTCTATCCCAACCCTCTGGCCCAGCTCCCGGCCCCGGTCTCCCTGCTGGCGGGGGAGGGGGCTGAGAGGGGGGCCCTGGGCCCAGCCGCCGTGCCACGCCTTTGCCTGCCCCCCCACGGTGCCGCCCTGCCCCTGAGGGGCGAGGGCCATGGGCCGGGGGGGCGGGAGAGGGAGGCGCTGGGGGACCGGGGGTTGAGCCCTCCAGGGGGCCCCAAGGAGGATCCAGGCTCCGACTCCGAGCTGGAGATCACGGATCTGAGCGAATGCAGCTCGGAGAACGAGTCCAGCCCTGAGAGCCTGGAGCTCAAACTGGGGGTGCTGGAGGGGGGCCCGGGGGCTGCTGGGGGCCCAGCCGAGGAGGGGAAGAGCCCAGCGGGGACCTGAGCACCGAACCCCGGCTCGGGGCAGCTGCAGCCAGAGGCCCCTGGCTTGCACCAGCGAGGCCTGGCTCTATTTTTATAGGAAAGTTTTATTCACAGAATGTCCCACATCTGACCCCAAACGGGCCCTGATCCGCACAACCCAGAACCCCCCCCATGGAGTCTTGGACACCCCCCAGCACCCCTCGCCCCTGCCCCCATCCATGGTGGGTACTTGGGGGGTGGCACCAAGCCCCCCAGCCCTGCCGGTGCCCCTCACTCCCGACTCGCAGCCCCCTGCTAGCCCAGCCCTGCCGGTGCCCCTCACTCCCGACTTGCAGCCCCTGCTAGCCCAGCTCTGCCGGTGCCCCTCACTCCCGACTCGCAGCCCCCTGCTAGCCCAGCCCTGGGACTGATCTGCCCTAGGTTGCTGGACATGCCATGTGGCAAAGCCAATTTGGCCGTGGGCAACTCAGCCTGTGCCCAGAGCCGGGGAGAGAACCCAGGAGCCCTGGCTCCCCGTCTGCGGTGGGGAGGGGCTCTTCAGTCCTTATGGTTCTCTAGGGGAACAGATCAGGGCATCAAAGTCTTTAACGTTTCCTGCCCTTCTCCGGATGCTCAAAGTGCAATATTGTCTGTGTCCCCTTCAGTGTGAAACCCCCCCGGTCTGGGCCGGGTCCCGCCCCTGCCCCTGCTTGTGCGTCTTTGTGTTCAGCCCCACGGGTGAAATGAGATGAGATTTTAACCTGTATTTCCCCCTTTTTTGTAAATATTAATTTATGGAGTGTGAAAAAACCACCCAACCCGGCAGATTTCTGGGGCCGGCGATCAGCTGCCACCCCGCAAGCAATAAACTCACCCCCGGGGCGCGCGGGGACCGGCCGCTGCGCTGGGGGGAGAAGCCGGAGGAGGACCCCTGTTTTCTGTCCGCCCGCAAAGAGACGCGAACTCGAGGCACCGGGCTGGAGCGCGAAACATTTACACAGACCTGAGCTGGGCATGGAACCCAGGAGTCCTGGCCCCCAGCCGCCCCCCGCTCTAACTCACTACGCAGTGCCACACCTCCACCAGCGGGGGACGAGCTGGCTGGGGGGGGGAGGGGACACGGGTCAAGGGGGCGCACACGGCCCGAGAAACACTCAGAGCCCTGAAGCAAGAACGGGTTTTATTTGATATCTTTACAGTTTATTTGGTTCAGTGACCACCCCCCCCCGTACCTTATCCCCCCCCCCAAAGTTATACTCAGAAGAGCCAGCTGAGGTGGGCATAGTGCCCCCCCACCCCCACTTCTCCCTTCCCAGATTCCATGAATCCACCATCCATCATACCCACAAACAGCTCTCCCTTGGGGGGGGGGAATTTAAACCCAGATCTTCCCCCTCCATGTCACCCCCCCCAAACACCTCGTTAAAAAGCAGAATTGTAAAAATTCTGAAAATATTTTTTTTAAAAAAGCCAAAAAACCTCACTGAAAGCTGGGGGGCAGGCAGAGAATGGTGGGACAGAGAACTGGGGGGGTGTGGCAGGCAGAGAATGGGGGGGCACGGAGGAGTCTATGTGGGGACACCTCCCCCCCAGAAATTCTCCGGGGAATTTCTACCCGCTTTTTAAAAGCAATGGAAGCCCCTGGAAAAAGCCCTATCTGGGGCGGACCCGTACGGTACAAGGGAATTAGGGGGCTCATCCCCCACCCCACCTGCCCCCCCTTTTTTTTGGTTCCAATGATTCTGTGCCAGCCCAGCTGCCATGTTGGCACAAACCAACCACTGTGCCCCCCGCTCCCCCCTCCAGGTTCTAGGGCCCCCCCATAAATCATATATATAAAAATATCCCAGCAGAAGTAAAAAATAGCTCTCTCTATAAAAGCAGCTCTCGGGGGTCGGCCCCTAAGGCACATGGCAGGGGATGGGGGGCAGTGGAATGTAACCCCCCCGGAAATACTCATCTCAGGGGGTGGGAAAAACCTTGCAGCCGCAGCGCCGCCCACTGGCTGACCCCGCAAACCGCACTGGCCAGCTCAGCAGCCCCGGGGCAGAGAACGGGACTGGGGCCGTTCCCCTCTGGGGGCCACTGGCCCCGGTCCGGCCCAGGGCAGGGACTGGATGGCTCGGGGGGGTGGGACACGGGGCTTATGGACAGATTGGGGATGGAGGGGGACATGAGTCTGCTGGAAGGAATTGGGGGTGAACCCCCCACGAGGGTGGCTGGCAGGGGAGGGGTGTTTCATCCCGGGGGGAGCCAGACTGGGATTTCAGAGCGGAGCAATTTGGGGCCAGGCCTGTGGGTGAGTCAGAGCCACCCAATATCCCCCCTCATCCCTCCCAGGATCCCATCTCTATGGGATCGCCACAGCACCTCCCATGGAATAGATGGGCCCAACTCCCTCCAGCATACGTCCCTGCCAACAACCCCCCCGCAGGAGACCCCGGCTGGGAGGGCAAAGACCGCCCGGCCTCTTCCTCCATGGTGAGGGTCTGAAGAGAGAAAACAGCAGGGAGCAGGATTAGAACCCCAAAGTCAACGCAGAGCCCTGGGGCCAGGCCTGAGAGTTGGGGAGAGCCCCCCATGGGGCCCCCTGGCCCACACCCCCCACGGGCCTCCCAGCGCTGGGCCTGAGGGCTGGGGAGAGCCCCCCGTGGGGCCCCCTGCCCCACACGGGTCTCCCAGCGCTGGGCCTGAGGGCTGGGGAGAGCCCCCCGCGGGGCCCCCCTGCCTCACCTGTGGCAGCGGCTGCCCCTCATGTGAAGCGGGGCGAGGGGGGGCAGCTGCATTTGGCCAGGAGCTGCTGCAGCTGGGAATAGTCGTCTTCCATGTCCTGGGGGGCCGGAGGGAGCATGACTCAGGGGTGAAACGAAGAGTGGAGACATCCCTGCAGCCCCTCCCACTGACCCCCCCAGCCCCATCTCCCCTCAAACCGCCCCACTGACCTCCCCTCAACCCTCCCCCACTGATCCCCCAGCCCCCCTCAAACCACCCCACTGACCCCCAGCCCCCCATCTCCCCTCAACCCTCCCCCACTGACCCCCAGCCTCCATCTCCCCCGACACTGACCCCCCACCCTCCCTGGTTCCCCTCAGCTCGCCCCCCCCACACACCTTCAGCCTGCGGACAACCTCCTCCAGGTGCTGACAGCTGCGCCGCACGTCCTCCGACTGCTGGGGCGTCAACACAAGGGGGGAGCCGGGCCCCTCCCCGCCTGGGCACCGCGACCCCCAATCCAGTGAGCCGGGGCCATTCGGGGCCCCCCCTGCGGGAGACCAACGGAGTTGGGTCACTCTGGCTTTCCCAACATGCCCCTCTCCTCCATTTCCCACCAGCCCCGGCTCCCATTGCCCCTGTGACGAAGTGGGACGGTTCTTAATGTTTCCTCTGAACAGTGTAGGGGTGCCTCAGTTTCCCCTGTGCAGTTCTTAAGTATCTAGGGGGTGGGGTAAGGGTGTATGATCGTTGCAGAGCCCTAGAGGGCAGGTGTGTGCAGGGGTCTGGACACAGAGAATGGCCAACACCCTGTTTCCTGGCCACTGATGGCCTGGGCCCTTCCCCCCCTGCAAGGTGAGAGCTGAAGGGTTGGAGAACAAAGGAATCCGGTGACCTCCTGGGCCGGAAAGGGACAAAGCCCAGAGGAGGAGGGGCTGGGGGGAGTTTCAGTTTGGGGCTGGCTGGAGACGTGGAGTGAAGGGCAGACGTGGTTGTCTGGCTCACTGCCCCCCAAAATGGACCCAGTTGAGGGGTCCCGTTCTCTGCACCTGCAAGCTCTGTGTTAGACCATGTTCCTGTCGTCTAATAAACCTTCTGTTTTACTGGCTGGCTGAGAGTCCCGTCTGACTGTGGAGTTGGGGTGCAGGACCCTCTGGCTTCCCCAGGAGCCCTGCCTGAGCTGACTCGCTGTGGGAAGCGCACGGAGGGGCAGAGGAGGCTGAATGCTCCGAGGTCAGACCCAGGAAGGTGGAAGCCGGGTGAGCTGTGTGTCCTGCAGACAGGCTGCTCACAGGAAGGCGACTGCCCCAGAGTCCTGACCGGCTTCATGGGGAGCAGTTCCAGAGCATCGCTCAGGGACCCCGCGACAGCCCCCGTTTCCCAGCACGCCCCTCTCCTCCCCCATTTCCCACCAGCCCCTGCTCCCATCGCCTCCTCCCTCCGTTTCCCAGCATCCTGTTCTCATACCTGGCGCCCCCCCCTCGCTCTCGGCACCATCACCCGCATCCCGTTCCTTGTCCTCGTCTCTGGCGCCCCTGTTCTCCGGCGCCTGGTGCCAGCCGTCCTCAGAGGAGCCGGGGTCCCCATCTTCCAGCAGGGGGGACCCCCCGAACAGCAGCCTCTTCAGCTCAGACACTGGGGGGGAGGGTCAGATGGGGGGATTCCCTCCAGAGGTCCAACCCAGGCCCCCCAACCCAACAGGATCCAGCCCAACTTAGGGGTCAGACCCTAGCCCCAGAGGTCAGGCAGCTCATCCCAACCCCCCCCCCGCAGGGAGTGGGACAGAGGGGTCAGCAGGGGGACAGGTTGGGGGGTCTCACCTCTCTCCAGCGCGGCGGCTGCCAGCCCCCCCTCCCCGGCCGCCCGGGGCTTGTGCAGAGCCAGCAGCTCCGCCAGGATCCGCTCCGAGTCCTTCTCCGGCTTCTCCGGGCCGCGCTCCTCGAACTCCATCCCCTCCAGCGCCCCCTCCTTCTCCCGCTCTGGGGGGCAGGGAACAGTCAGCCCCCCCTCGGTGCCACCACGCCATCCAGGAGTCCTGACCCCCCCTCGGCGCCACCACAGAACCCCGGAGTCCTGATCCCCACCACCACACAGCTGTCCCATCCCCCCACCAGCCCAGGTACCCCTTGGCCCCACAAGCCCCCTGGCTCCCCGGCCTTGGCCGGGGGGTGTGTGAGGGGCACATGATGGCTTCCTCCCAGGCCAGGGGCAATGGGTGCTGCGGATTATCCCGCCCCCCCTCAGCCCCCCGCTCACCGTCCGAATGCAGCGTCTCCCTGGGAGAGTTCCCGTTCTCCGAGCTGCTCAGCAGCCGCTCCCGGTCACTGCGGGGGGGTGGGGGGGGCCGTGTCAGCAAAGAAAGGAAGAACAGCCAGCCCCCCCCCAAAACCCCCACATCCCATCCCCCAACACCCTCCAGAGTCAGGGGTGAGCTCCAAAGTCCGGCCGCATCCTGTCCTGCCTCCGTAACTCCCCATATAACCGCCCCCCGCCCCAGCCCAGAGCCAGCCGCATCCCAGCGCTGGGTGACGGGCCCCGTATAACCGACTCCAGTGCCCCACCCCAGAGCCAGCCGCATCCGATTGCTGGCCCCCAGCCCCGCCCCAGAGGGGCCGCGCTCCAGCCCCACATGCCCGCTGCGCTCACTAGCTGGGGCTGTGTGGGGCTGACAGACTCGGGGCAGCACGACGTGATTTCTGGCGATTGGACCCAGGCAGCTTCAGAGACCCGGCCGTCTCGTTGATCAGGTCGCACCAGCTAGGGACCGGAGAGGGGAGAAACTCAGCTGGGGCCCCTCACTCCTGCCCCACAGCCCCTGCCAGCCCGGCCCAGGTCCCCCCCAGCCCCGCCGGTGCCCCTCACTCCCGCCCCGCAGCCCCCTGCCAGCCCGGCCCAGGTCCCCCCCCCAGCCCCGCCAGGTGCCCCTCACTCCCGCCCCGCAGCCCCCTGCCAGCCCGGCCCAGGTCCCCCCCCCAGCCCCGCCGGTGCCCCTCACTCCCGCCCCGCAGCCCCTGCCAGCCCGGTCCAGGTCCCCCCCAGCCCCCGCCGGTGCCCCTCACTCCCGCCCCGCAGCCCCCTGCCAGCCCGGTCCAGGTCCCCCCAGCCCCGCCGGTGCCCCTCACTCCCGCCCCGCAGCCCCCTGCCAGCCCGGTCCAGGTCCCCCCCCAGCCCCGCCGGTGCCCCTCACTCCCGCCCCGCAGCCCCTGCCAG